TTAAAAGGAAGCAGACTGGCTTAAATCTAAATCTAGTTCATGGTTCAGGAACACACAGAGATTTATCTAACATTCCACAGTTGCTTCCTGGGACATCTGGTGGTGAGACATTTGCCCCGGGGGGGTGAACTGCTTTGGTTAACCTTTGGCCTTTTAAGTCGCAACACAGAGGCAATTTCCCTCACGCACATTTCTTCACATCGAGTGAGGCAATTTTACTCCAGGGTGGGAGAACCAGAATGTGCCAACTAAACATGCACAGCTGAGGCACTGAGGAGGGGTGCTGCAGGAAATGCCCAAAAGAACAAAATTTGGAGCAAATATTTTGAAACAGTATAACAACAACCCTGAATTTAAAGCTATCCACAAATAGAATGTACCGTATTTTTTGCTCTATAAGACGCACCAGACCACAAGTCGCACCTAGTTTTTGGAGGAGGAAAACAAGAAAAAAAAAATTGAATCTCAGAAGCCAGAACAGCAAGAGGTATCACTGTGCAGTGAAAGCAGCAATCCCTCTTGCTGTTCTGGCTTCTGGGATAGCTGCACAGCCTGCATTCGCTCCATAGGGGACACACACATTTCCCCTTACTTTTTAGGAGGGAAAAAGTGAGTCTTATAGAGCAAAAAATGCGGTACGTTTCTATCTGGTATTTGCTCCACTTCAAACTTTGGATGCTCCAGTTGCACAAATAGTTTGTGCAGGACAAATTGTCAAGAATGATACTTTGTGTGCGCGCCTCTTCTTTCCCCCAGTGTTGGTTTTATGAGCACCCAGCTGTGCCCTGACACTAAATAGAAGATGTAAATAAGGAGTTCAGGTCTGAACCCCCAAAACACCATTTTCAGCCTCCACAAGTAGCCATAACTTAAGGCTGACATGGCTATTTAAACATATTTATTGGGTGAAGAAATACAAACACAGCCGCTTGAGACACACAAAAGCCATTTCAAGCAACTGGCTAGAGCAAACAAAAAAAAAAACGGAACGTTGCAAAGACCGTTAAGCAGAAACAAAAGCTCCAGGTCAGAGGGAGCACAGATTCAAGACAGCAGGTGTGCAACCTTCAACAAGGAGTTAGTTGAGTGGAAAGTTATTTTCCTCCCCTCAGTCAAAACAAATTCCTGCCCTATTAAAAGCACCGCTTCAAATGGAAAAAACATCAATTTAGCACCTCCTAGTGGACTCTCAAGGAAATTGCGAATAAAAACTTTGTTTTCCTGCCAAACTATTGATGATGATGATGATGATGATGATGATAACAACCACCCACCCTTCATCCAAAGGTCCCAGAGCAGGTGATAGCAATTTAAAATGCAACATTAAAAAAAACCAGTTCAAAACAACTTAAACTCATGAAAATATGGTGGGTCCTCAAATACATACCTCTCAGGGCCAGGTAAGTGGTACATCTTCAGCATTTGACAAAAACTTCATAGTGAAGCTGCTAGACCGACTTCTGTGGGGAAAGAGTTCTACAACTTAGGGGCTGCTTTTATTAGTCGCTTTTTTTCAGAAAGGTTTGCTTATTCAGTTCTCATATTTAATTTGATGACTTGGTCTGCAGCTTGCATCGTTATAACTCAAAGAGAATGATGCTTCAACACGCTACAATACATACTGCAGTCAGAACTGCAACAGGGAACAAGGGCTGAGGCCTCTGCCTTCTGACAAGTGCGACAAATGGCTTATTTAGCTCAGAAAGTTAAAGGTAAGGTAAAGGAACCCTGGTCAGTTAAGACCAGCCAAATCTGACTATGGGGTGTGGTGCTTGTCTCTGCTTTCAGGCCGAGGGAGCCGGCATTAGTCCACAGAGTTTTTCCAGGTCACGTGGCCAGCATGACTAAACTGCTTCAGGTGCAACGGGACACCATGACGAGTGCCAGAGCGCACGGAAACACTGTTTACCTTCCCGCCACAGCGGTACCTATTCATCTACTTGCACTGGTGTGCTTTCGAACTGCTAGGTTGGCAGGAGCTGGGACAAAGCAATGGGAGCTCACTCCGTAGCAGGGATTTGAAGCACCAATCTTACGATCTGCAATCCCAAGAGGCTCAGTGGTTTAGACCACGGCACCACCCTCGTCTCCATAGAATTGTCTGCTACACAGAAGGGGGAAAGCTCTCCAGGGCTTCAGACAGAATTATCTTTTGGTTGTACCTGGAGATGCTGAGGACTGAACCTGGGACCTTTGGTAGGCAACTTTTGTCCAGAGCCTCCTTTTCGTGTCCGTGAGGGGAGAGACGTCTGCTTTCCAAGCTGATTGGTGATTCTCATTTGACGCCTGAAAGCACACAAGGATCTGGGTTATTTACTACACTCATTGTTCTCCGAGAACACAGACTGCTCCAGGAGAACATCTGTCACTTGCAAACATACTGAGCACAAGCAGTCAGCACTTTTTTGTGTAGGCGAAAGCTCCCAAGTTAGCTCTTAAAAGCCAGACCCACTTTTATCTAACCTTTTAGCCAGAGCATATGCTGCATGAATAAGAAGCACCTCTGAAGACAGGCACCCAATTACCATTTCTTCTTACTCCTGGATACCAGATGGAGGAGCAATTGTGGGTTCATCCTAACAAATGCTTGCAAGAAACTGCAACTCAAGTGAAGAATTCTAAAGTGTTAAAATGTCATAGGTACTAAGCAATAACCCCCCCCCCAAAAAAAATATTCAGAGCTTGCAGCTAAGTCTCTTGAAAAGACAAACTGGAGGAACGGTTTCCTGTGACTTTTTCTTCAAACCAAGGCCACAAGAGTAGAGCATGGGCAGAATTGGCTTTCTGTTGGATCAGGGCCATCTCCTTGTCAATCTCCTGATGCTGTCGGACACCAGATTTCTATTTCAATCTGAAGCAGACAAAGCTTGAATTGAAATGAACTCAAGTGCCAAATTGGAAAGGTGGTGACTTCAAGCCATGCCTGCCAAAGAAGAATATTTCCTTTTGAATTCAGCTTCACCGTAGCTTTACCTATTCCGCACCTGAGATCAGGTGATGATGATTGTGGTGGACTTCAGGAGACAGAAGAGCAACGTCCAGCCACTTTTGATTGATGGGGTCTGTGTGGAGAGGGTAACAACGTTCAGATTTTTGGGCACTGAATTACAAGAGGATCTGTCCTGGAGTGTCAACACAAGGGGGCTTGTGAAGAAGGCGCAGCAGAGACTGTACTTTTTGAGAATACTAAGGAAAAACCATCTTCCGCAGAAACTGCTGCTTGCCTTCTATCACTGTGCCATTGAGAGCATGCTCACTTATGGCTTATGTGTGTGGTACGGAAGCTGTACTACCCAGGACAGGATGGGGTTGTGCAGGGTTGTTAAGGCAGCAGAGAGCATTGTTGGCTGCCCACTCTCCACCTTAGAGCAGATTTATGCCACAAGGTGCCATAGGAAGGCACTGGACATAGTAAAAGATCCATCGCATCCTGGTCACTGTCTCTTCGAGCTTTTGCCGTCGGGACGGAGATACAGGACGATGAAGACAAGAACGAGCCGTCTTAAGAACAGCTTCTTCTCCAGAGCGATCTCGGCCCTGAATGGGAAGCCCGGACTTTGAAAGTCATCTAATCTCCCTTGCTGTATTATACTGTATTGTTTAATTAGTGTTTTTATGGAGCAGTCAAGTAATTTCGTTGTCCCCGAAGGGGGCAATGACAATAAAGATATTATTATTATTATTATTATTATTATTATTATTATTATTATTATGAGACAGGTAGGTGTGGCTTGGCCAAAACAGCCTCGTGAGCCAAATATGGAGGCCTAGAGGCTCTCACCAGGCTTGCAAAGCTAAAGGTTCTCCACCACTGTACTACAAAGTATTATTTTTTATTCACTTTATCATCTTGTGTTAAAAAAAAATCCCTTAAAATCTGAATGACTGAGAGATGACAGAAATCTAAATACAAAAGGGTCGTTGCTTTTTAAATGGTCCCTACACTACTCAGGATAAAGTGTAACTATTGTCTGATTCATATAATCTGCTTCACTTTCCTCGCTGTTCTCAGAAAAAAAGATGCAGACATGTTATAAAAAAATTTGCTGCTGCTGCTGCTGCAGAGATGCTTGATGGCTCTCAAAAGCTTGCAACACCATTTAAGGGAACTAGTTGGTTAAATTCAAAGAAAGCAAGGCGGGGCTAGACTTACAATTAGGCAGAGTGAGGCAACAGAGTTTGAGATAGCAAATGTCGGATATTTTGGAACACTGTGTGTTTGTCAAACATTCTGCTGTTTTCTTGCTTGCGTCCCAACAATGCCTTCTTGTAGACAAAGTCCTTTTCTGAGTCTGAGGAAGAAAAGTCAGATGGCACATCTATGGTGGTAAAAACTGAAAACGGCAAGAAAAGTACAACTCACCAGGTGGTGGGGGCATGGCGAAATCCTATTAAAACATATACAAAGCTTTGTGTGACTCAACACAGATATTCTTGATTTATAGGGAATTATGGAGTTTTTTATTATGCGCATTTTTGTCAGTTTTGGAGTAAGGATACCAGATACACTTCCAAACATATAGTTTTATTTCAGTGACCTATTTACATATTTTACATACATTTCAAAATAGCATCACTATCATCACCACAATACATTGTTGAAAACTTCACCCCTTTAAAATGTCATTTCTTGATTTTAGAAACAATATCTTCTACCCCAATGGTAGTTCAGTAAACAATTCTCACATTTTTTTCAGTTTCATGAATGAACAGAACATTCTGAAATTCCATAGCCCGCACAAATATTTACCACAATATTCTAAAAGGTTGTGTTTTAATTAAAAGGGTTCTAATTGAAACATTGTGGGTTTATAGCATGACATCTAAAACAATACCAATCAATGCATTCTGTAATTTCCTGTATAATAATAGAGTCCATAAATGTGCTGTATGGTTGGCAAAGCTTTTTGCTCCCTGGTCCAGTGGTGAAATCAAGGTTCAGCAGATGTTCTACGTGTTCAAGAACAAGATTGTCAGCAGTCAAACTTTTGTTCAGTTCATCACTGCTTCTTTTTTCTCATCTGCTCCTCAGGATCTAGCTTGCGTTTCTTAAACGAAGCGGGCTCATCTTTTTCATCATCTTCAAATAAAAAAGTATTTATAAATGCAAATATATGCATAAGCTTGAGGTTTTTAAAGCCCCATTTACAAAAGCTTAGTTTCAATTCATCTGGCATAATGTGTCCAGTTCTTGGCAACACACTTTGGAAGAAGGATATACAGTGGTACCTCGGGTTAAGTACTTAATTCGTTCCGGAGGTCCGTACTTAACCTGAAACTGTTCTTAACCTGAAGTACCACTTTAGCTAATGGGGCCTCCTGCTGCCGCCGCGCCGCTGGAGCACGATTTCTGTTCTCATCCTGAAGCAAAGTTCTTAACCTGAAGCAATATTTCTGTAACCTGAAGCGTATGTAACCCAAGGTACCACTGTAGAATGGTTCAGAAGGTGGCAACAAAAATGATCAGGAGTATAGAAAAAAGTCCTATAAGGAAAGGTTGAGTGAAGGAATTGGATATTTTTAACCTGGAAAAAATTGAGGAGGGACTTGATGTTCCTTGAAGTGTGTGTTTTCTGATTTAGCAGACTGTAGGATTACATCCAATGGGCTTAACTTACAGGAAAGTATATAGTTGAACATCAAGTGGGAATTAATGGTAAGAGCAGTTCAACAATTTTTTAAATGAAGTGTTTGGTACAGGGAGAATTGTGCTGACACATCTCTGTGGCCAGTAACGGTCTACAGTCTAGTAGTTTCTACTTGTGAGCATCACCCATTAAGCATGGGGTAGAATGGAGGTACATTTTTATATATTAAACATTCTAGTCAAAGCTTGCATCTTTAATAGGAATAGCAGTCAAACAAAAAGCACACACGGAAACAAGGGTCCAAAAGAAATCTAAAATAGCAAGTTAAAACATTTATTAGAAGCAGCAATATCCTCCAGTGATTGAAGCGATGAAAAACTCAGAGTTAGTATCAGAATATTCAGAGATTGTCCTGAAGAAGAAACTACTTAAAATACCTCAGAACATGACACACACCTTCATTATCAAAACAGAAAGTCCCGCACATCAGTAAAATCCAACAGACAAAAGTGGCTTTGAACGTTAGGAAAGCGAAGGAGGAAGAAGAGGAATAGATATTATACAGTGGTACCTTGGGTTAAGAACTTAAAGAATGGTTCTGGAGGTCCATTCTTAACCTGAAACTGTTCTTAACCTGAAGCACCACTTTAGCTAATGGGGCCTCCCACTGCTGTGCAATTTCTGTTCTCATCCTGAAGCAAAGTTCTTAACCCGAGGTACTATTTCTGAGTGAGCGGAGTCTGTAACCTGAAACATATGTAACCCGAGGTACCACTGTAGTCTGAAAATACACGAAGATACAGCCTTGCTGATGCTAAGCAAGTCTAGATCTGCTGCCTTGTGACCACCTGGAAACCCCATGTATGCCATCTTGGATTCCATGATAATAGAAGAAAAGTTGGACATAAACATAATGAAAGTGAATGTCTTGCACTCCCCCACCCTGTTTTTTCCTGCACTATTCAATCCCCATCTTGAGGGGGAGATGCAAAGATTCTGTTATAGGTAAGCATGCAAAAACAGGAAGTGCCTTGTACTTCCTGTGCCCCCGCATTCCATGACAAACAACCCAAACTACTTTCAGGTGTAAAACTGTAACAGGAAAATGATGCTATTTTTACTATTACATCGCAGAAAAAGCCATGGGATGTATTGCTGGCTAAAAGTATGCCTGGATTCAAAAATATACTACACAAATTGGCATTGATGGAAGTATCTAACTGGTGGAGGGGGAGAGATTTAAATCAAATTATTTATATACAAAGGGTTACCTGATTCTACGTGCTCTTGCTCCTCTTCTGCTGGTAAGAAGTTAACTTTGTTTGGATTCCTTGGAGCATCATCACCATTATCTTCATACATATTGGACCATTTGATTGCCATATCAAGCTCAGGAGGTGGCGGTGGCTTTGTTTCTTTGACACTATAGGTTTCAGGGGGCGGAACAGCATGTGTCGTCCATGCCTTGAACTCCTTTGGAGGCTGTTTGGGGGAACAAATTGGATTAAAATACTGTGCTGTCAGAAGACCAGGTGCAGGGACTACGTATCTTAGAATGCATTTTAAATGCAATCATGGGCCAAAGCTGTTTTGCTCTAATATCTGAAAATATACCCAACATCTAATGAATGAGCAGTATCACTTATGAATAAATAAAGCAGCAACATAGTATCATCAATGCCACAGCCGTTTAGAAATCAAAATGGTTTAAGCAAATAAGCCAAGCCACTCATTACAAGGATAAATGGAGGAGGAATACAACAACATGTAACCCTGATCTAGGAGAAAGACTCCATCTTCATCCCAAATAGGATAAATAAGTTCCATATTTTGGATACAAACAAGAAAGCAAACCCCACTGACCAAGGAGTTCCGTATCTTTAATGCTAGGCTTTAAAGCAGCCTCTGGCTCTAGGGAAGGATCGGGGACCTGAAGCTCTCCAGATGTTCTTTGGTGTCAACTCCAACCAGCTCCAGACACCATGGCTAATGGTCAGGGATGATGGGAGCTGAAGTCCAATGTATCTGGAGGCCCACAGAATCCCCATCCCTTCCCCTAGAAGGATGGAAGGACCAACACAGGATTTTCATTAAAAAAATTAATTATTTTTATAATTAATTATAAAAAATAAAATATTTAACACTGAGAAGTTGTAAAGAGACAAGTGCTGCTGGGGCAATTGCCCTTTCTGTTCCCCGACGAATAGTCAATACCAGAATATCTAGATTTGTGGTTCCCAACGTGTGGCACACACCCCACAGCGGGGCAATTTGACTTTAAAGGGGGGCAATTCGAGAAAGAGTTAAACCAAGTTAATGGCCTTTTAGGCTTCCTCCACATGACTAGGAGTTCACTTTTTGAATAATAAGAATTATCGTATATGTCACAGGATTTTAGAGATGCTTAGGTGGGGCATGGCCAAAAAAAGGTTGGGAACTACTGATCTAGATGCTATTTTTATGCGTAGCCATCAATTATGCATAGCCATTGATTATAATGTAATTAACATCACACACAACTTTTCAGCATTCCATATGCACCTGAAACTCAGGATAACACATATCTGATGAAGCAAACCAACACTTAGGATAAATTTGTGTGTGTACATGTGTGTGTGTATATATATGTGTATATATGCTCTAGGTGGGGCCTAAAAGTCTCAAATACCCTCTCCGGCCAGGGTCTTTAATAGCCCTAAACCAACCTTTTTAGGCCACAAGCCTCCCCAATAAAATAAATTTAGGACACAAGAAACACAAGTATAGACTGACAGGGGCACACACAGACAGAAAAGCTACAGGCCCCGGCAGCGAGGCACACGTAGGAGCCAACTCCTGGGGGCCAAAGTCCCTTCAGCCACCCCAATAAAATATGTGACCCCCCTCCCAAGTTGCCATTCAATAGTGTGCGTGTGTGCCATGTCTTGTGGTCGGTTATCGGGGGGCTTACCTGCCCCTCCAAAACATTTTATTTACCCCTAGATGCACATCATGTGTGTGTCCCTCTCGTATGCAACTCCGCCCTTTAGGAATACATCATGTTAGGTCTTTCCAGCGTGGTCCTCCCCTCGTCGCCCGGCTCTTGCTGCTGCAGGAGAGCGACCCCCCCACCCCTCCCCTCCCCTCCCCAGCCCCCCGCTTCTTCCCCACCCACCTCCTCGGGAGCTCGCAGGACCCGGCTCTCCCAGTCGATCTCCTTGTGCAGCGGGTTATAGAGGAAGGCCGGCCGGTGGACGCTGCGGAACAGCTCGTCAGGCCCGGGCAAGCGCGGCCTGCCCTCGGGGCTCCCCCTGGGCAGAGGAGGCGGCCCTTTGGCCTCCCCGCCGCGGCCCGAGCCGGTCCCTTCGTCGCCTTCCGAGTCCGAGCCCGCGCTGTCCGAGCTGTCGTCGCTGGCCCCGTAAGCGGCGAAAAAGCCCAGCGGGTCCTTCCCTTCCGCGGCTGCCATGGCGGGGGACCGGTGCGGCAGAAACACCCGCCCGCGGAAACGGAGGGCGAGGAGAGGGAGGTTCCGGGGAAGGGGGGGGAACCAAAACACCACCCTCGCCCTCTCAGGCCTGGGGAAGGAAAGAGAGGGGACGGCCGAACTCAAGCTGCCACCTCCACTGGGAAAGAACTCTCCTCCTCCCTTTTCTTAGGGCTCAGGGATGGCTTCAGTCCTGCAGCCTGTTGCTGCCCTATTTGGGGGAAATATATACAGTATATATATATCCCTAAGTGCTCTGGCTCTGGCGTGCTCTGGTCCATGGGGTCACGAAGAGTCGGACACGACTAAACAACAACAACATATACAGTATATATATCCATAAGTATATATATCCTTAAGGGATGCGGGTGGCCCTGTGGGTTAAACCACAGAGCCTAGGACTTGCCGATCAGAAGGTCGGTGGTTCGAATCCCACCAACGGGGTGAGCTCCCGTTGTTTGGTCCCTGCTCCTGCCAACCTAGCAGTTCGAAAGCACATCAAAGTGCAAGTAAATAGGTACTGCTCCGGTGGGAAGATAAACGGCGCTTCTGTGTGCTGCTCTGGTTCGCCAGAAGCGGCTTAGTCATACTGGCCACATGACCCGGAAGCTGTACACCGGCTCCCTCGGCCAATAAAGCGAGATGAGCGCTGCAACCCCAGAGTCGGTCATGACTGGACCTAACGGTCAGGGGTCCCTTTACCTTTACATATATATCCAGTGTTAACATATAACTTATGTTGAGGTCGATGGGGGCTCTCACGCCCAAGTGAACGTGTAAGGGATTGCAGACCCTTCAAGTGTTCCTATTTTCCAGGGGCGTCCCTGATTTAGAGAAGCTGTCCCGGTTTCTGATTTGATCCACTTTTCCTTAGGATGTCCCTACCTTTACCTTGGAGAAATGTTGGAGGAGATGGAATAGGACCTCCCTATTGTCGTTGGAGAAATGTTGGAGGGTATGGAGTTTATGCGACCGCCGAGCGGTCTGAAGGCAATCCTGTATAGGGAAGTTTAAAAAAAAAAATTCTTTAATGTTTTTATATATGTTGGAAGCTGCCCAGAGTAGCTGGGGCAACCCAGTCAGATGTGTGGGGCATAAATAGTAAAATTATCATTATGGAATGGAATGTCCCTATTTTCATCGGATAAATGTTGGAGGGTATGGGATCGTAGTCCAGGGAGTCGCATCCACGCATTTAAAGCACATGGGCCCCTCTCCCCTAAATCCTGGGAACTTTAGTTTGTTAAAGGCTCTAGAAATTGTTGCTGAGTGTGGAGTAAAATAGAGTTCCCACGATTCTTTGGTGCCCAGGAACCATGTGCTTTAAATGCCTCCTTTATGGGCTGATGTTAATACGTGTTGAATTATTCGAAGTAGTTCTACTGGTCAGTGAAGTTGAGGATGCAATGGCAGAGGAGAAAGTGGGTTGCTTTGCCTGACTGCTACACAATAGGCATGGTAACATGCTCAAAGGCATGTTGACTCACCTTTGTAACAGGTTTTGTCATGGGGGGAGTGGGGGCAGCTGCCCCCCCAATCAATAAAAATCAGTAGCCGAGGTTCTGCCTCCTTAACAAAAGGCATGCCCCCCAACAAAAATCCTGCCTACACCCATGGGTCCTGTATTATCAGCAAGCATTCTAGCTATTGTACATCTTGCTTCATTGCTCACAGTTACCTAGTTTTCCATGGCATTGTGGGCTCTACTATGTTGGAGAGGGTGCTCAGCAGCAATAGCATTGATGTCCTTTCACATCTCACCTCTCCATAGTGAGAGAAGGGCCTCAACACTTATCACCAGTTCTCTCCACTGCAGGAGAGTCTGCAGAAGACCATGCTGATAGGTCTTCCAATCCCAAAGGGGGAACAGTCACAATGAGTCGAAACTTCACCAGGTAGTTATCTGAAAGTTGTTTGGAATCTCCCTGCTGCATTCAGACCATTCACCTCTGCCCCTGCAGCAAAGACCAAACCCAAAGTTGTCTCATTCTGTGCGTTGGGTCCCTGACAGTCCCAAAGTTGCCATAAAGGCCAAGAGATCCTACGGAAGCCTAGAATAGGCTCTTCTAATGCTCCTTCCAATGTAATCTCTGCCAATTTCGTCAGGGAGGCTGTAGTGCAGCAGGGTGGATGGTACATTGCATGCATCCCCAATCTGCCTCTTTGGGCCAGGGGTCAGTAAACATTTTCAGCAGGGGGCCGGTCCACTGTCCCTCAGACCTTGTGGGGGGCTGAACTATATCTTTGGGGGGGGGGGAATGAATGAATTCCTATGCCCCACAAGTAACCTAGAGATGCATTTTAAATAAAAGCACACATTCTACTCATGTAAAAACACCAGACAGGTCCCACAAATAATCCAGAGAAGCATTTTAAATAAAAGGACACATTCTACTCATGTAAAAACATGCTGATTCCCGGACTGTCTGTGGGCCGGATTTAGAAGGCGATTGGGCCAGATTTAAAGGCGATTGGGCCAGATTTAGAAGGCGATTGGGCCAGATCCAGCCCCCAGGCCTTAGTTTGCCTACCCATGCTCTAGGCCCACTCCAAGATACAGGGGTTTCTTTGTGATGGGAGTCTCTCTGGACCACAGCAATGCCTCATCACCCCAGTCTGTATTAGTATAGCACCAAGTACCTGGCTGAGCAGAACTACACTCAGCCCAGCTCACAATGCTTTATAAACACACATGCCAACCAAGGATCACAATGCATGCATGTGATGAAATGGACTCTGGTCCCCAACAGCTTGTGCTGTAATAAATTTGATGTGTAAAATGCTACAAGACTTTCCTATTCTGTGTGCAACAGGATATAAAAGAGCACAGACCTGGTTACTCAAAATGCTGTAGTTAAAGGAAAAACTAAGCTTCAAAGAGCAGCACATTACTGGAGGCTTATAAACCCCTGTACTAGCTGTGTGGGTCCAAAGTTATCCCAAAGCCTCTCTTTTCCAGCAACCATCAACAGCTGAGATTTTACTCTGGTCACCTACAGCAGATCCAAGCTTTGGCAGCCATCCATTTTCCAAAGCAACCACACATTCAAACACTGATATCTTCCACCCAAATATTTCTCACCTTATATTCCAACAGAGAAAGGCAGAGTATGGTCAAAACATTATTTCATTTTAAAATTCATTCTTACATAATTGACTGCAAGGACAACAAAAGCCATTACAGGGAAGGAAGAAAATATTTTAACACTCACTGCCAAATTCATTGATGACCTATCCCAACAAGTATTCTGGTGCAAAATATATTTACAAACATATTAAATAACCTTAGAGTTCATGCCTTATGTAGCCATATAGCCTTACTTGGATATAAAGCTTTTGTTATTTTACACCCTTGCATTACCTTAACAATCTGCTAGAATGCATTTGTTATGTCATTTGGCTAGCATCAACTGTGGTTTCTATAGTATTCATGAAAAGTTACAATGTTAGAAAGAATTGTGACCAAACCAATCTCAGCCCACTCCTAAGAGTAATGCCTTAGGCCAATAGTTATGGGTAGAATTAAGCAGAAACAAATTATCATATTAGAAGAAAAATATTCTGCCGAGGGCACCAAAGCATTAAGAATTGTGTGAGACCAGGGTCTCTCTCTTCCAGCACTTTTTCCAACAGCAGGCAGCCAGATTCTTCCCAGAAGTCTACAAGCCAAGTATGAAAACAAGCCCATTGCAGTACACACACAAGCCTCTAATATGCAGAAAACACGGGTTCTGAACATGGATGTTCCTTTTCATTATCATGGCTAATGTATCAGAGCCTAGTGCTGTAAAGGAACCTGTTGAAGGCTACAATGATCCTCCAATTTGAAATACCACAAAGATATAACCTGCTCTAAATGTATTTTATTGTCAGGTGTCAACAACCCTTGAACAATGCTGCTCAGCAAAGCCATTAAGAACACAGCTGCCACTGAATAGAAAGCAAGCTTAGCACATGTGAGGTGTACTTTAAAAAAACACACCACCTAATGACAATTTATTAGAAATTAATGCTTCTCAGATTGCTTGTTTCAAAAGTTAAACTCTACAAGAGAAATATTTTTGAAAAGTTGAGTTTAGAGTTTCCAAACAATTTTTCAGTTCAGTATTGTTTTATAATGGTTGTACCTTTTTGGGTGGGGGTAATACAGCAGTTGTGAACAGTCCGCAATTTACACAGTAGAACACATTATGGTCAGAAATAGTCACAGAAATAGTGGCAATTTCCACACAAGTAAATTTTGGATTATATGGGATCACATGCTTGGGAGAGGAATAAACCCTAGTGCAATTTCAAAATCTAGAAAGCCATAAAGCTTTTCAGGGGAAAACATCACACAATATTGAATGTTAAGTTCACGGTTGTGTGAATACAAGGTTTTGTATAACACAGCAACATCTAGAGTAGGTAATCATATAAAGGAACTTAATGCCCTGTAAATCACCAGCATGGAAGTTTGAGTTCAGGCAAGCTACATGGCAAGCAAGTACTTAATACACTGCAACAGAACCACCACCAGATCAGTTTGTGTTTAAGATCTACTGTGTTCTGCAGACAGTGACCAGTGTAATTGACCCATTACTGTCAGATCAAATGTTCTTAAAATATTTGCCTGTAATCCTAATACAGTGGGACTTACTTCTGAGTGAACATGCATAGGAGCAGGCTGTAAATTAGTGTAATTTATTGCACGTTTTAATCCAAGGGCTCGTGAAAGAAAAATGCAGGCACATTTCACAATACGTTGGTATTTCTGAGACAACTTTTTTTTGACTGGATATAAAAAAGGCACTGCTTCCCTGAGGTTTAGAGTAGGCATACAGTTACTACAGAAGACAGCAAAAAACACACTACATCCCTGATAATGCCCAGAGCGCAAATACTTTTTAAAGTGTATACATCTGGAATTTAAAAGAATATCATGTTCGTTTCCTTGTACGTTCGCAAATGTTGAGAAGTACGCATCTTTAGTAAAGCTAAGCAACTATAGTATTAGAACAGAAAAGAGGTTTAGAAAAAACAGTATTAAGAGTAGAAAAGAGGTTTAGAAAAAAGTTAATAAAAATGGCAAATCCTGGAAGTTCACAGGAAAGTAAGGCCCCTCTTTACTGCCATCTTCTTTTGCTGCTTCTTTTCCCTGTTAGTTAGCAACAATAAATCCCTTTAGTGGCTTGCAACTAATTCATATTTGTGACAACCTGTTTCACTTTGAGAGAGTAATTAAGCTGTTAATTTTAGATATATATTCAGTATTGTAAAGGAGCCCAAGGCATATATACTAAAACGAAGTAAAATGCCTAGAAAGTTAATGTTTTGATAGTGAATACAAATGAATTTGATTTGTGAAGTGCACACTAATTGCTTTTGAAGATCAGCGGCAATAGAGTATTACTCAGAAGATCATGTCTTATTCCAAAAGAAGGCACTTAACCCTACAGCCTGGAATTTGTTCATGTCACACAAAAACTGGACAAGGCAGGCACCCCATGATACATTACAAAACAACTGTATACTTGGGTTGCAAACCAAAGAATATGTCTCCCTATGTTCCAAGGCTTCTTTACTTCCTGTCAATAGTAACCAAGCAGAACTTACCAATCTAATGCCAACACCAGTGAGATGCAAGACTCACCATCCTCATTCATGACTACTATGTTCATCTCAAAACTTTCCTCGGTGCAAACTTCCCTCCTCATGACACTTCATCAGCACGAATTGATGTAAGTTGGGAGAAAAACTAGGAAGTTCTCAGGAATCAGCAAGCCCCCAAAATCACCAGATTAAATTGCTCTTACGATGCAGAAGAGGATCAAATTATGCTTTCTCGGTATGAATTTTATGCAGACAGTGCATATAGAAAACAGTAGGAAAAACCTCCTTAAAATGTTCAATTGAGCATCATTTTGCCTATATTGTTTTTGAATAGAAAATAACATTTAAAAGCTTTTACACTGCAAAAAAGCAAAAACAATAAAAGCATACAAACGAACATTTAAAATAAGAATTAATGGGGAAACAGTTCAGATTTTTTTAATAAAAAAACTTATAAGATGCAGTGAGCTGTCAAGCTATTTCTTGATCTATTGTGACTTTACAGTTAGACACCTTTTTCCCACCACCCAAAACTGTTCAAGGCATCCAGCATGATAGTACTCAAGGAAAAATATCACTACGGAAGAAGAGAGCGGGATCTTAAAGGCAGGAAAGGACTGTCACTCGAAGTCGTACATGTTTCCTCTTGTTCATTTTGCAATTGTGGCGGAAGAGGTGGGGCTCCAGAATCTCCAGGGCCGGGAAGCGTGGCTGAGAAAACAGAGTTTTCCGTACTTCCAACCTCAGTAATTGGCAAATTCATTGAATGAAGAGAAGCGGCGGATACAAAAGCAGATGTACTAAACTCTTCCGGATGAAGGTAGGTGGTTTCTCTGTCTTTTTGTTTCTCAAAGAGATTAGATTCATTCGACTGTGATCTAGAGAGATTGTTCGATTGGTCATACCCTGAAGCCATGCAGTTGCTACAGTTCAAGCCTGTAATAAAGACATAAAATGTATCATTTGCATACAATTTACATAGTGTGGTGGTTTGTTTGTTTTTTTAAGTCTACAACACTGCCTCTTGAGTCCCTGCAAGCGGTGTTACGAGTACTGGTTCTTATTTTTAAAAATTGGTGTTACGTTGACCACTTTCCAATCCTCAGGTACAGAGGCATGTAGTTGACCACTGTGAGGACAGGATGCTGCAGTAGACGGGCCCTTGGCCTGATACAGCAGGTTCTTAAGAGGTAAAATTAAAAGGCAGAAACCAATTACCAATATAATCCAATGCAACTACCCAGGCCAGACATGAAACACTCAAATAGAAACATATTAAGTTCTTCCACATATCCCCTTTCCAAAGGACACCCCCACCCCCACCCTAATGCTATCACCTGACTTTGACCAAACTAATTCTGGTCAGTAGCTTGTGCCTTAGGTTTATTCATCCTAAGTACGAAAAGAGGACCAAAACCCACGGCTGACAAATGAAGTTTTACCTGGCATAAGTCCCCCGAAATCAGTGGAACACATTTTTGAGCAAACACGCACAGAAGCAAGTTGCATGAAAATTAATTTTTACAAAACCTTTTGGAATAGATTCAAATGCATGTTATTCCATTTACCTTTGAGGCTTTCCAGTTTTTCATTTTTTGCCTTCAAGACAGCATCGGTTATCTTTTCTAACAGGAAGGTCTGTGTTTTTTCCCATCTAATAGATTCTATTAGTGCATCCAGTCCTTTGGGATGTTCTGCTAAGTAATCCAGCAGCTTCCCAGCTTTCTTCCTACTTGAAGATCGACAAGAGATTTCTTCAGTGTCCTCTCTGCTGAGTATTTTTTTTGAACGTAGATAATCAAAGTGTCTTTCTGCAATAATTTTGTCACACAGATAGCGGCGCAATCGTTCCAAAACCTAGCAAGAAGAAATGACAAAGTTAGCAACAGATGAATTTTTCATCTTGTATGTTGTGCTATGAATATATGTGTGGTAGTTCTTGGTGCACATTCAAATACTCATCCTAGCTTTCAAATTGTAACAAATTTCATTAATCACTATCATTGACTAACACACACACACACACACACACACACACACACACACACCAGAAAGGAATCAGATGTTTCAAGTTAAGGTAAAGTATCTGTATGTTGACTACAGAAACAAAAAGGAAATTGCCAGCAAGGGGTTACCAAAGGTGTTTCAGCTATTTCTCTCTTTAGTATTCTAGAGCTCCCCAATCAGCATGAAAGGGGAATTTTTTAGCCACTGAGAAGAGGTCTTCTCACCCTTTGTGCACACTGGAGCCAATCCAATTGAAAGGAGGAAAGATTGGCTCCTAGGGTCACTCGGGTGAAGGTCCATGGAAATAAAACTGAGGTGTATACTCCAAAGCTTAGCATTTAGGAACACTGAAAACACAAAGTGCTTCAGCTTCAAGAGAATGGTGCTCAAATTCTGTTAAGTACAATGGAACATGGAGGAAAGTCACTGTGAAATAAAATATTGCAGCACTCCAAATCATTTATTTGTATACATGCACAGAAAAAATTGTATCTAGCTGAAAAGCAACAAATGGAGATCTGCATTGATGATTGCAATGCATCCCAAATTATTACTATATAATTACGTATATTATGGTGCAATCTAAGAAGAGGAGCGGCTGCGACATCATGCACTTCCTAAATTTGTCATTACACTACTGCTGTGAACATAAACTGTTATTACCCTCTGGCCCAGCATAAAGTAATAACGTACTGAGAGAGATTTATGGTTCTGAAAAAAACATCGTATATTCTACACACAGTATGTGGACTTCATAGAAGGAAAAAATAGAACTAGCAAGAACTACTTTTATTGACTCATACATGTGTCAAGCTCAGAAACAAAAGAGGGGAATTCCTATAAACACTCCAAGAGAAATTCCTACGTAGAAATTTACATCCGAGGGCAGAATGCATGCGATTTAGTGGACCTTCCTTCCTCCTTTTTACTGTTCTTCTAGGACACGGAAGGGCACTCACCCAGAGACTTTTCTGCAATTCAGAGAACAACCTTCCCTGCCCCCCAACAGTGACATTCCTGTGAGAACATGCCCCACTGCTAGGAACTGCGATTGTCATTACTCACAAATCTCACCTAGTACAGTATATTTTACGTTCTAATACAGCCCTTCTGACGCAGGTTGAGCAGTGGGGTGGGTGCACAGAAGCAACCAACTCAAAGGGGCTGGGGTCTCTTCGCCCCTCCCCCAATAGAATATTTGAGGGGGCCAGCCCCCCCCCAAGTTGATGGACATGGCCATTCAAGCAGTGTGTGAGCACCATATCATGCAATCCATTGTGTGGGGGCGAGGCTTACCTGGCTCCCCCCACCTAATATTTTATTCAAGTCGGCACCCCTCAGTGGGTGGTGCACTGGGGACCAAGAGTAGAAGGGGTGGCGGTGGTGAAAGGAATACAGAAACCTCCATTATGCTTATTATTATTATTAACTGAATTTATATACAGTGGTGCCTCGCAAGACGAAAAGAATCCGTTCTGGGAGTCTCTTCGTCTAGCGGTTTTTTGTCTTGCGAAGCAAGCCCATTGACGGGATTAGCGGATTAGCGCCTTTTAGCGGCTTTTAGCAGCTTATCAGCTTATCGGATAAGCAGATAAGCGGCTTAGCGACTTAGAAAAAGAGGGGGAAAAGGAAAAAAAAAACCCAGGAACTCGCAAGACATTTTCGTATTGCGAAGCAAGCCCATTGCAGATTCGTTTTGCGAGGCACCTCCAAAACGGAAAACTCTTTCGTCTAGCGAGTTTTCCGTCTTGCGAGGCATTCGTCTTGCGGGGCACCACTGTACCACCCTATACCCAGAGGTCTCAGGGGCAGGTGGTTCACAGAATAAAATACAAAACTGCAAAATGCACAATCAAAATAAAAACAACCCAATAACTACCCCACCCCCCCAAAAAACCCACATTTTAAAAGGGCATATGATCTTCACACCATTACCCCAGGACATTATCCATCTTACAGGCCAGAGCCAGGATCTTATCCAAGGCACCCGCAGGTATGCATTTCCTCCTTCTCACCCTCTTGCTACAGAGAATGGGTTTTTTGTTGGGAGTTGGGGGGGGGCAGACTTTGGTTAGTGGGGGTGGGGCAGGCCTTCCATGAGTTAAGTATTTTTATTTATTTTTATTGATCTGGTGGCGGGGGGGGGGGGGGAGCAGCAGCTACTACGCCCATCCTACAGTGGCAGGAAAAGGCATCTCCCCTTTTCCAGCAGAGAAACAAAACAAAAAGGCGGGAATCTTGGCACTGAGGAGCCATAAACAAACCAGCGCTTTTTGCTTTTTTAAAAAAACGAGAGAACACGGCAGCGTCGGCATTCACTGCCTTATAAACAAGCACCCCGCCACACGACCCCTCCCCAAAAGCTTTACCCCTCCCCACCGCTCTCCCCATTTCCCACGACACGCTTTTCCATTCACACGATACGAACCCCCCCCCGCGCTTTCCCTCCCGCCCCGCGTGTCTGGAGGGGCAGAGGCTCCTCTCTGCGTTCTCGCGGTCCTTACTTCCTTCTTCACCTCCGCCATTTCGTCGTCGGTGAGCGGCCGCCCGGCAGCCGGGAGCCCAGAGTCGGCCATGGCGGAAACGGCTTCGGAGGGCGACGGTGGGAGGGCGAGAGAGGGAAGGGAAGAAAGGGAGGGAGGGAGGGAGGGAAAGAGAAGGGAGCCGCTTCCCCCCTCTTCCTCAGCGGCCCTTCAAGCCCGACTCCCCCGGGGAGATGCCGAAGCTTCCGGCGGCGGGGTGGGGAGAAGCCCCGCCCACCTCTCTCGAGGCCACGCCCACTCGCCGCCGGCCGTGGCGAGAGGCCGCGCACAAGGCTTACCGTTGGCGCAGGCGCGCGCGCGCCCTTCCGGACGCTGCTGCCTCCCTGCCAAATCGCAGGATCATACCATTCGAAGGGACCGCCAGGGGCCATCCAAGTCCAACCCCCTGCAAACGCAGGAATCTTTTTGCCCGGCGTGGGGTTCGAGCCCATAACGCTGAGATAAAAGAGGCAACTCGCTCTACCAACTGAGCTCTTAATCTTATCTATCTAGGCCACTGTCCCCCCCCCCCGTCCAAAAAAGTAAATAAATAAAAAAATAATTAGCTGAAGTTCCGCGCCCTAATATAAATCGTGGCAGCGCTCTTTAACTATTGCTAATCGTTTCTGCTTGGTTTTTTAGTGCTTATTTTGGCTGCGTTATTAATATTATTATTCTTTCTATATTTATCTACATCTCGCTTTTCTCGCAGAACCAGGAATGTTCTGTTTTACAATTTAGATACTCATTTAAACATGCTTAAAATACCAGTGACTTCCCTTCTTCTCTTTCCATGGTTCATTTGGCATATCATAAATCCCTTTATGCAAACTGAGCCATTCAGTATTCCATTATTACATCCATCAAAACTTATTTACACTGTTGAATTTATCTTAATGCTGCCAACGTTTTCAAGTGTACACAATCCCCCCCCCCCCCGTCAGAACCAGGATTCAAGGTGGCTCAAAACAAATCTAGAGATAGAATACACATAGCTTAAAACATAAGGTTGTGGTTAACCACTGTTAACTAAAAAATGTAAAAAATAAAATAAAAATCATTAGTTCATTTATTCGCCATCAGTTTATATCTACATCAGGCTTCCTCAGCCTCGGCCCTCCAGATGTTTTTGGCTTACAACTCCCACGATCCTTAGCTAGGTGGACCAGTGGTCAGGGATGATGGGAATTGTAGTCTCAAAACATCTGGAGGGCCGAGGTTGAGGAAGCCTGATCTACATCCATAGAGTTGCACAGTACAGTGGTGCCTCAGGTTAAAAACTTAATTCGTTCTGGAGGTCTTTTCTTATCCTGAGATACCACTTTAGCTAATGGGGCCTCCCACTGCCGCCACGCCGCTGGAGTACGATTTCTGTTCTCATCCTGAAGCAAAGTTCTTAACCCGAGGTACTACTTCTGGGTTAGCGGAGCCTGTAACCTGAAGTGTCTGTAACCCGAGGTACCACTGTAGAATCATGGATTTGCTGCTTCATGGAACAAAAACGTGAACCCAAGGCATAAATCCCTAAGAATTTGTGTTTGACACACACACCCTCTGCATCAAACCACATAATATACATGGACGCAGATGTGCTCTGTGATTTGATGGTGGTTTGCTGGAATCACATACAGTGGTATCTTGGGTTACATACGCTTCACGTTACAGATTCCGCTAACCCAGAAATATTACCTCGGGTTAAGAACTTTGCTTCAGGATGAGAACAGAAATTGTGCTCTGGCGGCGCAGCAGCAGGAGGAGGCCCCATTAGCTAAAGTGGTGCTTCAGGTTAAGCACAGTTTCAGGTTAAGAACAGACCTCCAGAATGAATTAAGTTCTTAACCTGAGGTAGCACTGTATAAAAATTCAGAGGATGCGTGAGGAACTGTGCTTAAGCTCCATTACTGGTGCCATAGTGTTCTTTTTATTGTACAGTCCAAAGACACGGGTGTAACTTTTTTCTTCACTCTGGTTTGGGGAGATGCCAGGAGAAAATCCCAAGTATTCTGTGAGGATCCACACCCTGTAATCATGTTTTTGCACCATGACGGTGCCAGGAACCAGTGCCACACCTGTGATTTTCCCAGTCTAGTCTATGGATATGGAAACGATCTCTAATTTTATAGTGGTTTTGCTGGGAATCTGTACAAAATCATGCAAATTCTTTGGGATGCATGTCTTAGATTCGTGTATTTGGGTGCAGTGAATCTCGGTAGTGGCACCCGCCCTGTGGAACGCCCTCCCACCAGATGTCAAAGGGAAAAACAACTACCAGACTTTTAGAAGACATCTGAAGGCAGCCCTGTTTAGGGAAGCTTTTAATGTTTAATAGACTATTGTATTTTAATATTCTGTTGGAAGCTGCCGAGAGTGGCTGGGGAAACCCAGGCAGATGGGCAGGGTATAAATTATTATTATTATTATTATTATTATTATTATTATTATTATTGGTGCAGTCCACAGGTACAAGCATGAACTATAATTTGAAGGTACGTAATTTTAACAGGATCCCTTGTAAAAAAATCTGTAAGAATTGTACTGTATTGTACGTACTTCATTCCACCTGAGACAACGAATCTCACAGACAACTCTCATCCCTCGGGCAGCAAATATACAACAATAAATTAAATAATGAATTAAATAGCTAACCTTTTATGACACCACCACACTATAAGCTTCTTATGGTTGATCTAGCCAGGCCCTGAAGCCATTTTTAAGAGAGATGTGTTTTTTAGTTTCTTCTTTGTTTCTTTCCTCCCTTTTTTACAGTCACATTCTATCAAAGTAATCACTTGTGAAAAGACCCTTTAAATAGATGTTCGTTTTAGCTAGCTAATGTTAACAGATATGGGAAACACAGAACTACCTGAGGAAACTATTGCGGGATTTCCCTTTGTATGCCTACTTGTAAGGCCTTAATCCTGTATCTATTTAAGTCAGTTAGACTTATTTTTGAGTAGTCATGTAAGTAGGATTGCACTGGTAATAATACTTTCTTCACTATAGTCTGAGGCTAGCAGTAATAATATAATATTGTCATATTATTATATTACTGTGAGTGAAAAAAGTATTTGATCCCCTGCTAAATTTGCCCGTTTGCACCCTGACGAAGAAATGACCGGTCCATAATTTTAATGGTAGGTTTAGTGTAGCTGTGAGAGACAGAATAACAAAAGAAAAAAACCCCAGAAACCATTTTTTTAGTAGATGGTGGAGATTGTTATTTCCACAAAAGTAAAACATGTTTTTGATAATGTCAACCTTCCTTCAAAATACTGACTGTTATACCAAACTATGGGAGATACAATGCTGAAGCAAATTTGAGGAACTGCTAATTACTGAGTGCCCACTAGAGGTCTCTGCTGTTTAACACTTTCACCCCAACAAATCTGCCCCCCCCCATCATTTCCAGCATTACTTTAAATTCTTATAATTTATAGCTGCTAGATTGAAATTTCCACCTACATTGTAGAGAAAGAGGCAATGGGATAGAAGTGTATGCATGGAGAAAGTGGCTAGATAAGTTTCTCTCTCTCCTAGCACTGGAACTTGTGGACATCATGGGTTCAAGTCCCATGTTGGGCAAAAGATTCCTGCATTGCAGGAGATCGGACTAGATGACCCTAGTGTCCTTTCCAACTCTACAATTCTATGAATCCATGGCACAAGGCTTGGGGTAGGAGACAATGCTGAAACAGATATCCTCTCAAGTCATCGTGTTCATGATTTGATGCAATTGTGTGCATACTTGTTGAAGCTGCTTGTGTTGTGTACCTCTGCGTTGAGTAAGGAACTAGCAACCAGGAACCACATTCAGTCTTGTAACACACAACCTCCCCCTGCCCCCTCCTTTGATACCATATCTGAGAAACTCTCTCTCTGTGTAAGCTGTCGCTTGATGAAATCAGTTTTCCTTATCAGGAAGAGGAAGATTTCTCTCTCTTCCTTCTGAAGGAGCTCTGAAAGGAGATCGCTCAGAATGATTGCTGTATCCAGGTCATCTACATGTGACGTTCATAGCTCTTGACTCTTTAGCTCTCTTCCCAGCTCTCTGTGCTGTGCAGGTAGTGGTTTTATTACCACCCCGTTCCTCTTGTAGTCGCTCGATTAATCCTTGACAATCTGAACTTCTGTTGGCTCGCAATCATCAAAGGTCACCTTGAAATAGGCGGCAGACTTTTAAGGAAAAAACACATCGTGCATGCAAATGTCTTTCTAAATGCATGTAACATTTATTACCTTTTACTGTTCTGCCAGAGATGTTTTCTTGGAAATGTGGCAACAGCACTCATCCCTGCTTTTGCCATGGCTGTTGTCTGTTTCCTTCCACATTTAACTTGGCTTCTGCATCATGAAATGGACCTTCTGTTTTTGATTTACTCCCTAATGCAAATCTCATCTTTCCGCAAGGGGACTTTCTTCAGGCTTATGCTTTTCCACGGGGCAAGATGGGAATTTGCAGAAAGTAATTTTGCAATCTTTTACCTCTCAGCTTTTACCTTCTTCTTACCAATGTTATAGCGAACCCAGCAGAAGCCTCCTTGGCATAAGACTGCTTCATATGTTCTTATCAGTGGAAGAATGATACCCCACAGGTTGAACCTGCCTAGATCAATCTCATCGATTAGACGAACAGTTGCCATGCGGAAAAATGCTTGCAGGGCACCTTTCTCCAGGAAAGCCAAACCCATGTATTACTGCAGAAGGTAGGCCAGGATCTCTGGTCAGTTAGGATACATTTTTGTTCCCTCCTTGAAATACCATTCTTAAATTGAGCAAAAAAACCCTGAATATTGGATGGCAAGGGAACACAGCAATATACCAGTCCCCAACTAAAAGCACCAATCTCCAAGTGTTTTTAGTTTTGGACAAAAACAAATACACATTGCACCTGTACAATATTAGCTGCAGTACTGCAGTCCCAATCCAACACATACATACCCAGCTACTATTTAACATGGGCCCTGTGTGTTACACCTGTTTGTGCCTTACATATTCATAAAACTGTGCCAAATTAGCTAAAATCACACTTATATGGTCAATCCATGGTATAGTGG